TAACAACTTGCCTGCAGATTTTTTCCTCCTACTAAGTGACACAGCTCTGGTCTGTCCATTTGCTGTACAGTGGCAACCCGTGGTTGCTGTGATGCTAAACACTGTGACACTGATGTGTCAAATATGATAACAGTTACCCATGGTGGACAGTGTTTGGCATGGCTCCCCAATTAAAACAAGCTTAGAAGCAGGAGTGGCATCCACTTCCAAAATAACGTGCCTCCAGAAACTCTATGAACTTGGAGAAACGATGAAACTATTCAAGTATTTAGGTCTTTCGTTCATAGGGTCGCTATGAGTCATCTACGACTTGATGGCACTTAATGACGGCAACATCTATTGCATAGATCTCAAGTGTTTTGAGCATCTGTTTAATCATCTTCATCAGAGTAAGAGCAACTTGTTGCTCCAGAACAAACATGTCCTGTATGCAGGTCAATGGTAAACTGCTCAAAAATTTTTAACCCAAATTTTGGGGAAAAAAATTTCAAAATGTTTCCCCATGACTATCTAAGAGTCAGAATATATTTGATAGCATTGATACCTTTTTAAAATCAAATACACTTGAGAGCTAGAAAATGAACAAGGAAGACAAAAAAAAGAAAACAGAACTGATGCATTTTTGTTATGATAGTGAAGAACAGTGAATGTGCCGTCAGAGGCCAGGAGAGTGGGAGCCCTGGCAATGCTGTAGGCCACCCTCGCAGGGCTCAAGGGTTGCCATGACTATCTGCTTATTGTACAAACTTCCTCTGTAAAGGCCAAGGTGGCAAATATTTCCAGCTTTCTAGGCCAAATACCTGTTTAGCCATCCCTCCACTCAGCCGTTTCAGAGCAAGAGCCTCTGTAGATGATTTGTAAATGAGTGAGTGTAGCTCTTTTCTGATAACAATTTATTTACTAAAACAGACAACCACTAAATTTGATCCTTGTGCTGTAGCTTGCAGGTCCTGAACTAAAGTCTTACTTTATCCATCTTGACCAATTTGATAAGAAAGAAATCTCCTAGAACATCTGACCTGGCTGACATTAGCAGTTGGTTTTTTTCTAAGTTTCCTCTCTCAAAGCCATTCTCTTTCTAGAAATCAAATCAACATACAATAATAATAAAATAAAAAAATAGAGCTTAGAGCTTTCCGGGAGAGACCATCCACGTTTCAGAATATCCCTGTTTTCAGCACTTTGCGGAAACTGAGTTGCCTGTCTCTACTTTAAAAGCAAACTTCTCCCAGCTCTGAAGTCCATCACCCACTCCCTGAATGGTGAGCCCAGCTTTCCAGTCAAGAGTGGCTCACGCTGCCTTCCAGAGCAAGTCCGGTAGGAAGACAGTCATGGGCACACGCCGTTTGCCAGCAGTTTGTCGTGTGAAATCTTTGGGGAGAGAAGGCTGCTTGCTTGCTTATGGATTAAAGAACAAGATCTTTTGTCTCCAAAAGAAATCAGTGTTAGTTCTTAAGGTCAAAGAAAACAATCTCTTCTGCAGGATGAGACGGGGATGCTGACTGCATCCCACCTGTCAATTATCTGGAACCTGAGCAAGTCAACAGGCACACTGACCTAATGTGGAGACGTGGCTTGGTCCACAGCTCTTCTCTCCAGGCTACACAGCTGATTTTTTTTAAGAGAAAAATATTGTATTAGTATGAGGATCTGCAGAGATCACCCTCTCTGAGCAGCAAAATGTCAGGCCAACCAGTATGCTTTCTGATTAGCTGCGATAAGAAATCTAGAAAACAGCATCAATGGTTCTTCTAAGTGTACATGGCAGTGTCTTCAAGGCTACCACTGATGTGCCAACGCCATCACCAAATCCCAGAGGCCAGGTCTCCTAGTCAGAAAAGATAGCATTCTAAGTAGCATCTTAAGCAAAAGCTAAATAGTGCTTGTTGTTTTACCGTGAAAAAGAAAACTGACCCACAGCTGACCTTCCAGTAGATTTTCAGAGAAAGTAAAACTGCACAGGAGACCCATCATCTTCCTCCCACAGCGCAGCTGGTAGGTTCGAAACCCGTATCTTTGTATTGGCAGTGCAATTCCTTACCACTAAACCACCAGGTGGCCCCAAGTTAGTTGTGACTCAGAGTGACCCTGTGTATAACAGAACGGAAGCCACCTGGCCCCGTGCTCCCCTCACCAGCCTTGCTTTGCTCGAGCACATTGCTGAGTTACTGTGTCAAGTCAACATGCTCTATTTCACTGACCCTCTACTTTAACTGTCAAAAAGCTTGTTCAACAAGAATTGCGTGGCAGCTATGCATTTGACAAGGCCACTGAAGGCAGCCCTGACAAAACTTCACTGGAGCAGAGGAGGGGAGTGCTGCATCTAGCAAACATCTTTGTAGAGCCTGGCCTCTAATCCCCCCAGACCAGCAGCCTGACAACTTGATGTGCTCACAGGAGAACTATTTCTTCCACAAGCTCGTACGTGACAGTAGATGTCAAATTGTGCTATCGTCTTCAGGCATCCATTCAAAAGTGGAGCATTAAGGCTTACGTGTTTAAAATCTGCGACCGTCATCGTGACCTCACAGGACAGAAGTGAACTGCTCCGCAGGATTTCCAAGGCTGTAAACCTTTCTCTGTGCCGACTGCCATACGTTGTCCTGTAGAGAGGCTGGTGCGTACAAACTGCCCACCTCCTGGTGACCAGTCAAGCATTTAAACTGCACAACCAGACCTCAGAACATTTTCTGAGAGGGTATGCTTTCTTTTGGGTTTTAAAGCTCTTTAAAATTCAACACTGAGTCTCTGGGAGGGCAGAACACTTATTTTAAAAAACTACACAATTACCTGACCCTCAGAGGAGCCAGAAGGCGAGTCCATGGGAGATGGGAGCACATCCCAGATGGACACAGCTCCAGAAGCCACTAAGCACTGCCAGCACACGGATGCCTGACACGAGACAACGCTAACTCAGTACAGCAAGTGCTCCTCAGCCGGGGACGTCTGTCTCCTCCAGAACAGACAACTCCCTTAAAGCGTGACTTCAGAGAGAGAAAAGCAATTCCAAACGTATGTTCTTTCTCAAGTACCTGGAGTGACGGAAGCTCCCTGGAGAACCTTGAACACTGCATCTTCATGCTCTGCCAAGCTCCTTGCCACACGGAACCCTCAGAGGGCATTTGAAAGAAGCACACACAGTAGTAGCCTGCTCTCTCTGACTCCCCTGCGGCTCTGAAGCCAAATCCTCCCCATTAACCTGCATCTACAGCAAACCAGGGGAGAAAGGAGTCATTTATCTAAAGCAACAGTGCCTCTGAAGACGCTGGTGCATTAAATCCTCAAAAGCCCTGAGACACGAAGATGACCTTGGCCAAGCTCCTGAGCGTCACGGAGTCCAACGTCCTGCTATGTAAAACAGGAACAGCTCACCCTGCAGGACTGTTAAGTGGGCTGATGGGAGTGGAGTTAGAGTATCTGCACTCCAGCATCTCCTAGATGACAGATCTTCATCTCCAGTGGTGCTAAACTAAAATGTTCAACAACCACTCTCAAGAAACAGCAGCCAATTATTACCTGATCAAGTCACTATTTAAGGTATGTCTTAGGTATTTATTTTTTAAAAAGAAAGGAAGAAAAGAAAAATAAGATTGAGGTAACCAGCGTGTCAACTGTCAATAACAGTTAAATCTATGGGACAGCCTGTCCTCTCTTCCAAGCAATGACCTGCCTCTACGGCTCCTCTGCAGGTAATCCAAGAACCGCCAACTGAGATCTCATTCTCACGTGGGCTGTGCGCTCCCCTGAACTTGAGCTCTCTATCTTCAATCCCCAACACCTGGAAGAGGTCTATATTCAAGCCACTCAGTCAGTATGCACACATGGACTGGATGAAGGTGAGTATCAGCCCATTCAGGAAATCATTCTACTAACAGATAACATTATGCACAATTAAGTAGCTCTGGTGGTGGCCTAGTGAAAAGAACCCATGCTGCAATCCCAAATGCATGCGGTTCTAATCTACCGGCTGCTTCACACGAGAAAGATGACCAACCTCCTCACATGTGATTTTCTGCCTCTGAAAATCTGCTGGAGAGTTGGTTATGAGTTGGCTCCAACTTGACAGCAGCACACAACAACAACATGCACAGCTAGTGTTTATTTAACGTCTACTGTACAGCACATAGACCCTGAGAGTGCTGACACACATCAAGAGGGTGGAATGAAGTCAATCTCTTCACCATGCATCTGACGCTGCCAACTGGCCCAGTGGTGAAAATCAGATTCTCGTGTGCACTCTAGTCCTCTTTTTCATGCAGAAGGAACAAAGACGCAGAGGTACTAAGTGACTGAGCAGAGTCAGAACGGAAAGAAGAGAAAGAATGAGGAAGACAGGAGAGGAAATCCCTAGGACGACAGAGATTAGTGGGCAGATGAAGGATGTGAAAGCATAGGAAGGTGATGGGATGGGATGATGGAAGTCATGGATCAGTAGTAATCAATTCTATAAAACACAGTTACAGAAATGAGTGCATAAAACACAATTTACAAGAATGAAATTATGTATGTGAATTATTATATGAATGTAAATGATTATATAAAACACAGGTAAATTAAAGAAACAATGTATATAGATGACTGAATACAAACCAATAAAACAAAGAAACAAAGCTGTGTATGGGGTGTTTGTGTGTGAGTGTGTATGAAAGTTAAATAAATAAATCTGAGCAAACACTGGCGTGACTAACCCATCAGGTGTCAGGAAGCAGAGATACATCTCCCTGGATTATCTGAGTTCCTCTGGTGCACACTGAAGGGTGAGGCACCACACAGTCTACTCTGCCAGGTCCATGAAAACAACACGGACATTGTCCTGTGAGCTCCGGTCCCTCCTCTCAGGGCTTGTTCCCTCCAGTGGAATGACTTGTCTCTATAGTGATGACGCACATATCGTGCTCAGCGTTCATACACCCTCACTTTTCTCTCCACCTAACCTCCCAGTAAAAGCCATCAGGAAACGTGGGCCCAGAAAGTGGTGAACCTCCCGCCCCTGGACTTACAGGAGGAATGGATACTGGGGAAGCTTTTGCGGCCCTCGGACACCAGGTCGGGGTCACCTGTGCAGTGCATTTCCGAGTTCATCACTCCATCTGGAAAGCAGCGGTAAAAGAAATCGGGGCGAGGTCTACAAAAGACACCATGGACATTTTCACTATAAAACGCTGTCATCGCAAACGACCCCCAAGCTTTCCCTGCCCTGCTCCCCGCTACCCCCAGACACTTCCTCAAAGTCCTTCTGCCACCCAAGGAGGGGTACCCTATAGAAGGCTCTAGACATGGTGGGATTGGGCTCCGACTTCAGGCTCAAAAATAGCTGAGTTGGAACTCCAGTTCCGTTACTTTTTAGGTCTTCATTTTTGAGGACGTGACTCCCCTAAGCCTCAGTCTCCACATCCATAAAAGGGGACCGTCTACACCTACAAAAGGTAAGGTCCCAAAGACTGAATGAGAGGCCTTACAGGAGGTGCTTCGGTGCAGGGCTGGCCCACCTACTGCTCTACCAGTTCAAGGGTGCTTCTCGGCCTGACCCTCCAGCTTCCTCATGTCCCTGCATCCTGAATTAGGGTGACCAAGTGGCTTTGCTCAACCAGGAGATCATACGCAACCTCATGAAGAGGGCGTGAAACATCAGCTCTTTAAACAAGAACCTGGCCATGCAGGGCACCCAGCTATCTCCAGGCTCGATGTGGCTGAGTCGTCTGGAGGGTCTGAGGTGGAAGCTGGTGCTACAGACGAGCCCCACGGCAATGGAGGCTAACATTTGCTGAGGACCGTCTGGATGCCAGTCCCAGCATGCCAGTCCCTGGATGCCAGTCCCAGTGCTGAGCACTTCACCTGCACCATATCATCTGTTCTTACAACTCTATGGCAGATCCTGATGCTCTCCTCACACGGGTGAGTTAACACTTAGAAAGGCGAAATTTGTGGTCAAGGTCACACATCAGTAAATAGCAAAGGCAAGCTTAGAGCCCCAGGCTTCAGCTTCTCAAGTCCACATGCTCCACCCCATGGCTTTATTGTCTCAAATAAGTGAGGATTCTTGTATAGATTTATGAGAGCCAATCAGCTCATTAAACCTCTCAGCATGGGATCTAGGGTAGGGCCTTTTAGTCTATCAGAGACGTGTGGGTATCTTTCCCCCTGAACCAGCACTTCTCCATGAACAGGTGTGTACCTGCTGCATCAGGACCTCACCTCACAGGTTCAAGGTCTATGAACCAGCATTTGCTCAAGAGCCAGGGGAATCCTTAAGCATGCCCACCTGGAGGAGGTGCCACACCGGGTCATGTGTTCCCCAAATTTCTTTGTCCATCTCTAACTCCCACCCCAGGAGGGCCTGGCAAGCACCCTGCACCAAGTAGACTGTCAACAAAAGCTGAGCTCCTGAGAGAACATATAACTTGTTCAAGGGAACTGCTAGTAATGGCCTGAGTCAGCCCAGAACTGAGGTGTGAATCTTTTCTGATTGTGAATCTCTGCAGAGACTCATGTGCTACCAAGACCTTCCAGGAAGGAGGCAAGATAAATGGAGCAGAACCAGCACTCTCAGGAGGGTTCAGGGAAGAGTACTGTAAGCTGAAATGCAAATGCCAATCTGTATTTCCTATTCCAAAAAGACAACAGATCCATAATCATATTCTTTTACTAGGGGCCAAAATTGGCAAGTGAGTGCCCAGTGAAGACGTGAGGCAGCAGTGGCCAGACCTGATAACAACAATATTTACCAGGTGACCAATGGGCCATAAGAGGTACCAGTTAGTGGTTGTTCTTGGCACTGGATCTCCTGCTTTCTAGAACAGTGAGCCCACAATTCAAAGGACAGAAAAGCTCTATGCTGAGGGCATAAATCTCAGAACAACAATTTAAAGAAAACCATAAATGCTCAGAGCAGCCCCACCCAGTGTCTCTGGGCCAGAGCCTAAGCCATTGATCACTAGGAGAGGTTTCCATACCGATTACCTAAGTTGCAATATGCTTCTTTTTGGAACTTACCTTCCCACTATTAACTTAATAGTGTTTGTGCAAACTCCATTCAAAGCAAGAGCCAGGGACACAGCTGGAAAATAAAAGGAACAGGCAGCAAAATTACCAGGTGATTCACGAATCAAAACGTTCATCACCGCCACCACCACCACCATCATCATCTCTGTCACTCTATGATGCTGTTTAATAATTCTGACCTCAGGAGTCTAAACCAACACTTTAAAATTAAACTACAACACCAAAAAGTAAAGAAGTCTGAGTTGCTAGGGCAAAATATACTTAGGACAGGACCTGGGAAAGTGACTCAGAAAATGCCCAGCCCCCATGACATGATCTTTCTATCTCCTCCTTGACAGAAATGCTCCACATGAGGAGAGGCCCCTTTATCATATGCTGGCCTGATAGGAAGAGATTTAATATTACAGCATTGGAATTTTTTTTATGGATATCAAGAAACAGTAGCTTTTAAAACTGCCTCTGGCAACCTTCTCAGGCATCGTTCTCATTAGAGCTACTTCAGAAATCCTACTACAGAAGGGGAACCCACCCCAAGACCATCTCACGGTGGACCCAACACCCACCAACAGCTGTCCACTTGTTATCAAACACAGCACTGCTTCCAAGAAGACTAAAATCCCAAACGTCTCCCGAGGTTTTCAGGAGACTTGTTTTTTGCAACTTAAAGCACCAGGACCTTCCAGAATTCATTATTTTAAAATACACAGTACAGGGACTTCCTGCAAGCAGCTTGGAAGGACTGTGATGAAGAAGGAATCACCCGAAGCGTCCAGATGGTATGAGTCATGGAGCTTGCCCGAGGAGGACCTCGGACACTCTTCTGTGGTTTATCAAGAGTGCACAAACGCAGAGATGGAAGGTCAAAAGCCTTGCATAAGTCACATCAACTACTGCTGCCCTGTTTCACTGCTCTGTGGAATAATAAACCAAGTGAACATCCATTTCCCTCCGGCAAATATTAACTGCCCAGTACTTGGCTGAGATTTATGTAAGAACATAGTCGTGGAGTGGCACTTTCAGGAAGGAGTTGAATAGAGCACTTCACGGCCATCAGACGAGATGAATATGTTCTCCTATAAGCAGAAAGGACTGTGGACTGGCCAGTGCAGTCACGAAGATACAGCCAGTTCAGGTCACAGGTATGAGTGACAAGCAGATAGAAGCAGAGAAGGTGGGAGTAGGGAGTGAGGGATATGGTCAAACTAATGCCTTTGGGGAAAGGAAATTAATCACCTAAGTGAGGTGGGGAGCAAGGGGACAAGGAGCGATGGACTGCAGGGGCAAGTGTGGAGCATGTTGTAACTGTACAGAATGAACTGCGCTTAGGAAGCCGAGCACACAACTGGGGCGCATAAACTGAAAGCAAGAACGAGGCACTTGGAGAGATCTGCTGATTCCATTCTGTACACTCAGACCCTCCCTTCCTCTGCCGTCTTGTCTCCCAAGCTCAGAGCACTGAGGAGAGGTCTCCTTTGCAGACAGGGGTGGATAATCCCTACATTTTCTTGCTTCTTTCCCAGCCCCAGTGCCAGGCTAGGAGGTCGTGATAATAACAGAGCTCCGACACAGTCTTGAATGACTGTGCTCTTCTCTACACAGGGCGGGTCCTGCAAGCTCCTGCTGTGTTTTTCTGACAGGGCTGGACTCCTCACGCGGTCTCAGCGCAGACCAGGTCTCTGGGAACAAGCAGAACCTGTGTAGCTCCCATCGTACCCAGGTGATTTTGGCGACTTCATGAACAGTCACACAGATCTGGAACACTATACTGCCTCGTTTCGGAAACTCGTTGGTACACTGTGCGGCACATAAAGTTGTGTCTCATAAAGTGTCAAGTACCTGAGCTGTAGCATACGTGGATGGCACGTACCACCAGCAGCTGGTAACTTCCCTCTGATCCCAAAGTTTGAGGGGGACGGAAACAGGTGAGGAAGAGAAGTGACACTACTTAGTGTGGAGTCATCCTGGCATTCTGGAAGCAAGCGACCATTTCTCTACGCTGAAGTGACTGCAGGCATACCTCAGATACATAGAGGGTGGGGTTCTACCACAAACCACCTCAATAAAGCACCATAATCCATCAAGCAGGGACTATATTTTTTAGGAACTATTTTTTTATTGCTTAATATGTATCATAGATGCAGTGAATATGGATGACAGAAGAACTGATGCCTTTAAGCTATGGTGTTGGAGAAGAGTTCTGTGCATCTCATGGATGGTTTAAAGAACAAACTTATATGTCCTGGAGAGGGTGCAGCCAGAGTGCTCTTTGGAGGCAAAGATGAGGCTTTGCCTCACATACTTGGGCACGTTGTTAGGTGGAGCTAGTCACTGGAAAGGGACATCATGCTTAGATGGGTGGAAAGATGGCGAAGGAGAGGAAGACCTTCAACCAAGTGGATTGACACAGTGACTGCTGTAATGGGCTCTAGTGGGTCAGGAAGTGTGAGGATGGCACAGGATAGGACAGGGTTTAGATCTGTTGTTCATAGGGTAGCTATGGGTCATACTCGACTCAATGGCACCTCACAATAACAACAGTGCATATCAAAATTATGTTTATATCACACTGTAGTCTATTTGGCATGCTACTGTAGTATGAAAAAGTTTGAAACGTGAAAAACATCAAAATGTGACAAAAAGACATGAAGTGAGTAAGCACGTGTTACTAGGAAAATGGCACCAATAGATTTGCTTAACATGGAACCTCAACAAGCCTCCTGTCATTAAAAAGAAATTAATCTTTGAAGTGCTCTAGAATGAAGCACAATAAAACAAGGCAGGCCTGTCAAGTGCCATCAGGACAGCACACCTCTGATGGCCAGTGCAGGGGCCCCTCACTGACACAGAGAACAGGGCGGGCTGTGACTGGGGAAGGGCTGGACCAGCAGGAACACGGAAGGTCTCAGTTAGGAGCGCCTGCTTATGAACACAGCCCAGTGAGCAAAGTGGGGGGAAAGGGCCACATTGACAGCAGCGCACAGCAGAGCAGGCTGGGCGGCCAGTCAGAAAGATAAACCGAACTGACAAAGTCACGTCAGCGAGCAGCAGAAGGACATGGAGCTGGCCTGCAGCAGCACGCCCTCCGGGTGCACTGGTTACAGGACTTTGTGGTGTGAGGTGTGCGACTGGGAAATCCCAGGATACATCCATGGCAGCAGAACTCAGATTACACAGGCCTGGCTGCTCTACCGACTAAATCCCTACAGGCTGGATGCCACCAGGGCACACACATCCTCTCAGCCAAAAGCAGACACCCAGCAGTGCCCCAGCACTGGGTACCTGTCAAGAAAGGAAGTCTTTAGGATCCAGGTTTGGAAGCCTTAACTGAAGTCCACTGGAGACATCCGAGTAGAGGTGGAATTTGAGAACTAAGCCATTCCTCCTGAGGCAATCTGGTGCCAGATGATGTTGAAGAAACCCCAAACCAACACAAACGACACCCAGTTTTCTGCTCTCAACTTGTAAAGATCGTTTCACCCTTCCTCTTCCAAGACTTCCAGAAAATCATGATTTAAAATACAAAATAAAAGGAAATTCTCTGCAAAGCAAGAGGCTCTTCATCATTTTTATAGGACAGCCTCTCATTTACTTAGAAAAACAGAGCATCCAATAATCTACCTTCCGTGTTAATACATGGAGGCAGAGTATGGTATTAACTTTTGAAATGTCACCCTAAGGGAAATTTGGCAGAGAATGAAAAGATCTAGAGAGACTAAGGGTGAGCTATTTACTCCATAAACGCCATCCACCTCCAAGTACAAGCGGTAAGATATAGCCCAAAGCAGGAAAGAGAGCTCTCACCCACAGCACAGATATGGAGATCAGTGCCTGAGAGGGCCTAGGAAAAAGGGACTTCAGATTAACCAAAAGGACTCCCAGGAGGAGGCTGTGGGGACCACAGTGATGTATGGCCACACACTGCCTGCCTCAAGCCACATGATGGGAAGACCCACCCAATTCTTGAGGACACTGGCCTTTATGTCACCTCGGGAGATGAGGGCCAGTTCATGTGTCCACAAAACACCCGGACCACAGATGCACAGTGCAGAAAGCTAACCTGACCTGTGGGAGGGTGTCCAGGCCAAAGAAGGAGCATGTGACTTTGTGACCAGACTGAGAAACTGGTTGGGACAGAATTTCTGTCAGGAATTCTGAGCCAGAAGATACTGCGAGTCTGCAGTGGGTTATGGACTCGGGATCTGAACAGTCCCACAGGAATGAGGTTCAGGTGGGAGAACAGAGAATTAGTGTCGGGAGAGCAGAGACGATACACTGCAGAGGCAGGCAGACCTGAGCCCTGGGGGTGGGGGGTGGTCTCCAGGCCTTATGACCCAGCTCCCAGTCTGGCCCCTACATAACGCCTCTACTTATTTTTCCCCCCATTCTTGGATGTCTGTGAGACTGCCTGTTACATCCCTATAATTAAACCCCAAATTTATTTGAACTAATTTGAGAGAGATTAGTTATTTGCAACCAGCAGATCCTGGTTATGTAAGAAATGTTCTCTGTGCATTTTCAGAGTAGAAGACCTCAGCTATTCTACAGCTCTCACTTCGACCCCTTCACAGAGAAATGGGAGATCCGTATTTGGCTCCATTTTCATTGATTCTCTGTCCAGATGTAAACAGACATGCCGTTTCTTAAGAAGACCCGTTCTTCCAGACTGCAGTGCCTCACATAACGAAAGTCAATGCAGCACACCAAAATCACCACGCAGGTGAGGGTGTTAGTAACATCTATGTCATGTGTTAAAAAAAAAAGAAAGAAAGAAAGAAATTTTGTTTTGATTAAAAAGCTAAAACCCAGCTATAGGCTAGTTTTGTTTTGGCTGTTAACAGAAACAGTCTTGGTTATCTTGTAATACTGTCATTGCTTCAGCAATGATTTATGTGGGAAAAACTAATTTAATCCTAAAAATGTCATACTCGTTCTTGTCACTTGCAGTTCTGGCTTAGTTTAGAGAGCAGTTTCAATAACAAAAGTGTTAGAAGCAACACAAAGATCCTATCGCTCTTTACACATAAACCACTGCTTTGCTGCTAAGTTTCCCCAAACTTAAAATCAAGTATGGGGCTTGTTCCCAATTGGTATTTTATTTTACATCCACCTTTGCCCTTTTTTTTTTTAATGCTTCTAGTCAGTAAGGTTACATGTCAAGTAGTCTGTGGTTGATTTCTCAGTTGCTCGTACTGGAATTATTAGCCACAAATCTGGAAGGGACAAAGTTACAGACTGACTTTGTCTGGACCACGGGCTACCCTGTTTCCCTGTAACTGGGCAGCACAGACCTCAGATGTGTAATCCAGCATACATACTCAGTACCATGGACAGCGACAGACAGTAGGCACTGCCTGAAAATTGCGTTGCTAACAATGGCACATTAAACTTTGGGCTCAAAGTTCATCTTGCATGATTTCTCCCAAGCTTCATTTCATCAAAAGAAAAATCAGTTGGATGAAATGGAGTCTTTTGTTTTCACATCAGAAGATGGACTTAAATCCAATCCTGTCCCCTGAAGCAAGAAGAGTGAATACCCTACCTAAGAAGGCTTCCTTAATTTCAGTCTTGTCTGTTCGCCGGATAATTTTCACCACACAAATAACAGCCAGGGGTGTGAGGAAAGAAATTGCCTGGAAGAAATAACAAACAATCCCTTATGAGGACGCCAGTTTGCCATCAGTCAAGGTGTCTGATCATTAAGTCCAGTTAGCTTCATGTAGACTCACTGGGTGACGGATCTTACTGAACTCCTGTCCACCAACAAAGGCCAATGATTTATATCTATGCTTGGAGACGATACACACTTTGAGAAACTGGATGTCTGGTTGGGGGTTATAATTGATTTGTAATTGCTGGGAGCAACCTTTAAAGTGGTGGCTTTTTAAACAGAAAAGAATGGCCTGTAATTATGATGACTCATCTTGGCCAGTAACGCCCCTCACATTCTCCTCTAGAGAAGGGTGAAGCAACCCGTGGCCTCTCAGTCCTATCTCTCTGGCAACATGAAAGCCTGTGGGACTTGCTTGAGTTCCATCAATTCACTGGTGTTCTTTTGTTGAATATTCAATTTCTCTGCAAGGCAAAGGTTAATGCTGCTTCTGCATCAGTTTCTCCTTTTCCCTCCCTCCATTTTATTTTCTTCCCAAAGCACACAGCTGCTGACCAAGTGTTTCATGAGTTAATCTGGTGGAATTCAGATGCACTAACAGAGATAAGATCTATGTGAGAAAGAAATAGTGCTAGACACTGAGAAATACAAGGCCAGGGGGGGAAAACACCCCAAAACAAGCCCTCACTGTCACTGAGTTAATTCTAACTCCTGGTAGCCCTACAGGACAGGACAGAATTGCTCTACACTGTTTGCTGCTGTTGTTATTGTTGTTGCTGTTGTTGTTATAGACCTCTGAGTTGATTCACAGCTGACCTTCCAGCAGCTTTTCAGAGGCAGTAAGTCACAGGGGAGGTTTCCCATCTTTCTACCACTAAAAAGCTAGTAGACTGGCACCATGTGTCTTTGAGTCGGCAGCACGACTCCTTACCATTAACCCTCACAGCTCACTCCTACAGAGCTTACAATGCTCTAATACTTTGTAAGAAAACTGTCACTTCTTTCTCTTATGTTGTGGTTGGTGAGTTCAAATCCTTAAACTTTCAGTTAGCATGTGGGTATTAAAGCACTGCTCCACCAGGACACTTTAAACTGACACAGGAGCCTCAGGGGTTAAATGAAGCGCCCATAGACACATGTCCAGTGACTGTGAGTATCAGGGTTTGGTAACCAGACCTCCTGCTCCCCCATGCCTAGTCCAGCATTTCATAATTCTACAATCAGTAAGTTTCGTAAATGTTCCAAAAACATTTAAACATTTTATGTCACTTCTAATTATAATATATTGGGAAAACAGTGTCAGAAAGTATTGACTACTTCACAAATCTGCAATTAATCTGAGAATTAAGGTGAAGGGTTACTGTTGAACAATATAGTCCATACTTCCAGAAATGTTCATTTGTACTCTAAGTACGTAACACATCCTATTGGGAAAGGAGCTTCCTAATGGGTTTCTAACCAAGCAGAGTTAATAAGGCATGGCTAGGAGTTCTTTTTTTTTTTTTTAATGACTAAGCTGTATCCTGGAGGCGCGGTAGGCTTGAGGACTCCGAGCATGTGTGGTGGTTCTCTGGGGCCCACGAGGGGGTTGGCAAAGCGGACTAGCCAGATGAATGGGGGTCCGGGGCTGGGGGTTGCCCAGCAATTGGGTCGCTATGAGTCGCCTGCGACTTGACAGCACTTGACAACAATAACATCAGCAGAGAGAGATCAGCTGGCCCAGTGGACAGAAAGCGATGCTACCAAGCCAAAGGTGGGTGACTTTTAATCCGCAGCCCTCAGGCCTGTCTTTCATTGTTTTTATTTAGGCATTCCTCTAGGTCGTATAGCCCTGCTGTACAAGTTGCAATACAGCGGTCACTTGTGGTTGCTGTGAGACTGAACACTGTGACACTGATGTGTCAGATGTGTTAATGGCTGGTTACCCAATGGGGACAGAGAGTTGGGTGGAGCTCTCCAATTAAAACAAGCTTGGAAGCAGGAGTGGCATCCACTTCCTTAATAGCTTGCCTCCGGAAACCCTATGAACCTGGAGAGAGGAAGAAAGGCACCCAAGCACCGAGGACTCTCCTTCACAGGGTCGCTATGAGTCGCCTGTGACTCGATGGCACTTAACAACAACAAGGTGTGTCACCCATCTGTCAATTTGTCTTGCTGTGATGGCTTGCATGTTACCTGATGCTGACAGTTATACTGCCGGTATTTAAAATACTAGCAAAGTGACAGGTTTCATGACAGTTTTCACACTAAGACAGACTAGGAAGAGGAACAGATAATCAACTTCAGGAAAAATTTGTCAGTGAAAACTTTATGAGTAGCAGAAAAATACCAAGATGTGCCTGACCCACACCATGGTAGGTATTTTCATAACCTCTCATGCATGTGAAGGCTGGACAATAAATAAGGAGGACCAATGAAGAATTGATACACTTGAATTACGGTACTGATGAAGAATATTGACTATATTGTGAAGTGTCAGAAGAACAAACTTCTTTGGGGAAAAGTACAGGCAGAATGTTACTTAGAAGTGAGGATGAGAAGTCGAATGTACCTGAACTTTAGAAGTCTGAAAGCTCTTAATAAAAACACCATGTTTTATAAAGCAGAGGATTAGAATGGAAAAAAAGACTATTAATGAAATGGAACAATACAGTGGCTTCAACACTTGGCCAAACACAGCAGCGACTGTGCAGATTAGACAGGATCAGGCAGCGTGTCATTCTATTGTGCTCAGGGACACAATCAGTAGGAACCAACTCAAAGGTATCTAACTCCAGTGATCATTAGATGCTTTACTTTTAGAAAACCTAAATTGCTTCAAATTAATATGTGTTTTCAAAATAATTTGGGAAGTCAGAGCTCAGGAGATCATGAAGGCTCCTCTGTAGAGAAATCAGAGACTACTGATCACACAAAAGAAAGCCTCCAGTCTTACTGGGTACCATTTCTTTCTGACCATATAGGATGGCAACCAGTTCAGTCATTCTCATTCTCAAGTATGACCCTGGATTACTTACACTATTTAAAAGTCTTTTACCCACAGAGGGGACAGGACCTAAGGGCAGCTTGCTGAGTTTGGGGAGACAAACAGAGAAGGAAGCACTCCCCAGTAGGTCACAGTGAAAAGCAACAACCCTTGGCGAGTAGTTCTGTGTCTCTCACACCTGAATAGCTGCAGGGCTTGTTAAGATGCTGATCCCATGAAGAGGCTGATATGATAAGTCTGAGAATCTACATTTTTAATAAGAATCTCAAATGATTCCGATGCTAGTGATTATAAACGTGGATGCCACATTCAATTTATACCTCTGATGTTCACTATGGGGGTGGCTAAACACCTGCTCACTGAAGGGAAAGTCATTGTTGAATCAGATGAATTTCTTGTTTCCTTACATGCAGGCATCATACCTACCAACTTACACCCTTGCTCCCTTCAATTTAAGTGCCATCTGCAGGCTGGCCAATTAAAAACCAAATCCACTACCATCAGGTTGGTCCCCACACATGCTGACCCGCCACTGGATTTCTGAAGCTGTACATTTTCATGATTTTGAATTTTGTTTCACTTTTCTTAACTCTGCCCAGGACTCCTTTGAGAGTGTTCAGCAGCGGCTGCCAGGCACCATCTAGTTCTTCTGGTCTCATGAAGGTTGAGGATTTCATGGTCCTTTGTATTCAATACCTCTCTACACATCTTTGCTTTTATTCCTTCTATGTTTTTTTCCAGACAGTAAGAGACTAGTAGCTGTACTTTAGATGGCTGCTCAAAAGCTTGTAAGACTCCAGTCAGGACTCATCAAGCAGGGCACAGAAGGCTGTCTTTGTGGACTATGCATAACAAAGTCATGTTCAAACTAAAAGCGACCTTTTGCAGGTGAGTGAACTCAACTCACAGTGACCCTAAAGAACAGAGAGTAAGTGCTCCAGAGAGTGTGCGATGCTGTAGTCTTTACTGAAGCGGACTGGCACAGCTTCCACCCAGAGAGGAACCAGTAGGTTTGAAACATGATCTTGCAGTTTGCAGTTGAGTGCTTAACCAGTGCACCACCAGGAATCCAGAGTTGTTGTTGTTAAGTGCTGTCAAGTCACAGGCAACTCATAGCGACCCCATGGAGAGTCCTCGACACTTGGGTGCCTTTCATCCTCTCTCCAGGTTCATAGGGTTTCCGGAGGCAAGCTATTATGGAAGTGGATGCCACTCCTCCTTCCAAGCTTGTTTTAATCGGGGAGCTCCACCCCACTCTCTGTCCACATTGGGTAGCCAACCATTAACACATCTGACACATCTGACACATCAGTGTCACAGTGTTCAGTCTCACAGCAACCACAAGTGACCGCGGTACGGCAACTTGTACACCAGGACTATACGACCTAGAGGAATGTCTGAACAAAAACAATGAAAGACAGGCCCGAGGGCTGCAGATTAAACGTCAGCCACCTTTGGCTTGGTAGCATCGCTTGGAACCCACAGTCTTGTTGCTAAAATCTAAATTATTCAACACTTACCGAAGGCTTCCTACAAACCACTAAGCAGAACGTGTCTGTCTGGCTCCTACTTGTGGCTTATAGGCAGACCTTGTCAATAGTGCGGGTTCCATTCCAGGCTACTCCAATAAATAACTCAATAAAGAAAGTCACTTAATTAATTAACTAATTAAATTTTTGTAAGAGGCTACATTGCAATCTCAAAGGCATGTGGTTCGAATCCACCAGATGCTCCATAGGAGAAGGATGGGCAAACTCCTCCCCCACAATTTACTGCCTATGAAAATCCACTGGAGGATTAGAGGTGTTGATAACACCTTTGGAGGGAAATGTTGTTTAAATCTTCCCTGCACAAATGAGGAAACTGAGGCACTGAGAAGTTAAGCGATTTCAAAGGCTGCAACTCTCTGGTAGTTCAAATCCTGAAGGAAAGAAGGGTAATCTTTCCAGCCTCTGAAACCCGCTGAAGAGTTAGCTATGAGGCGGTGCTGACTTGATGGTAATGACTTTGAGTTTTCAGTAAGTGCAAAGTGAGCA